TTCATATATCAGACTTTGCACTTACTAGCCCCTTTTTGAGAAAAAAAGATTTTGTATTATTAACATTATTTGATAATTTGAGGGAGGTGATTAATCGAGGGATGGCTATTTTTTGAGGAAATACGGTAATTTAATTTATTATTGTTTAAGGGAATTATTTTCCTTAATTGCAGGCTGGGCCATGCAGAATGCTTTGTACATTTTCTTAAAACGTCGCTGGGAGCAGGATGAGAGCTATCTTAACACAGTGCTCAGTTATTTTGTAGATTCATCAGCTTGTTTACAGCTTCTTCTGTTTCCAGAGGGTACCAACCTTGAAGAAGGCAGCAAAGTTAAGAGTGACTCATTCGCAGAAAAAAACAACCTTCCATGTTACGATTATGTATTGCATCCTCGTGTCCGAGGATTCACTTATTGCATTGAAAAACTTCGTCAAGGTAGACTAGATGCAATTCATGATGTCACAATTGGCTATTCACAAAACTACTGTTTTCAAGAAATGGACCTACTCAAGGGAAATGTTCCTGATGAAATTCATTTTCATCTTCGACGTTACTCTGACAAGGAGCTTCCTCGAGATACGAAAGGTCTGGAAGCCTGGTGCTGTGAACGTTGGGAAGAAAAGGAAGAGAGACTGAAAAATTTTTACACTAAAAGCAAACAGTTTGGACCCCCTCCAGAGTTGGCTAGCGAGACTGAAATCACTGTTAGATATCTCTTTCTGAAATGCTTGATATTTTGGGTAGCATTCGCGGTCTGCATTTCACTTCTGCTGTATGCATCTGTGCTTGCAAGATGGTATGTGTTCTTCATTGGGGCTACTCAAGTTGTGCTGTCACTTTTTGGAGGAACTGACAAAATATTTTTACAGATGCAGAAACCACTTAGTATAAAGGCCAACTGAAGGAATAATTAGAAGTTGCAGCAATTATAGTGGGTGTAATTCATTTGACCTAAATTTCTGAAACTTTCAGTCCAAAATTAGATGGATCATTTGGTACAGCTGGAAAAATTTTGGTTGGATTGGTCTCAGGAAATTTGCCATTCCATTTGACTACAGTAAAATCATGTGACTCAGAACCAGAGTTTTTCCAAGTTAGCCTAAACAGGTTCTTATATAAATGGAAGTTAGCACAAATTAAGGCTGTTTAGGTTCTTAAGTAGGTTCTTTCTTCTTTCTGAAGAAAAAAATACAATATAACTAAGAGTATGAACAATGAAATTTACATTGCAGTTGGGGAGATAAGGAACCTATGTCTCCAAAGAGGATTGTGAATGTTAACTTATCTCATTTGCCCAAGTCTACATAATTTTTTCAAAGATTTTAGAAAATAAAAAAGCTCTTTCAAATTTTTGGCTAAACAGGTTCTTATGTAGAGGGGACTGAACTGGCAAATTTTAGCCTAACAGGTTCTTAAAATCCATGTTCTTAGTTGCGGGGTTTTACTGTATTCCCACTTCCCATGTCCAAAACTGACTGGATTAGTTTGATTCAACTGATTCAGGGTGTTAATTTATCCCAGAGAGAAATAAAACAAGATCGCTCATTTTTTCATTGCACTTGCCTCTGAAATATTTCAGAAATTTGATCAGAAATTTTTGTTGAATGGAGTGCACAAAGTGATTGCTGATACAATAATAATAATAATAATAATAATAATAATAATAATAATAATAATAATTTATTTTAAATGTTTTTTGAATTATGAGTTTTTGCAAATAACAGAGTATAATTGCTTCTTAGCCCCTAAGACTTACGAGTGATCACCATCTTTCTAGTCGTGAAATAAATTCTTCTCATAAATACTAAAGAAAATGTATGGCAAGCAGTATGGAGAATATGTATAGTGATATCAGTCTTGAAAAGGTCAAGTCATGTGACATGTTGTTTCACTGTTTCAAGCTGTTGTATTTCTGGGGGCATTTACCCTCTAGTAGCCTGAACTCTATCAGTTTGAATATTGATTTCTGGTACTAAGTTTCAAGATTTAGGGGTGCAAACATCTCAAAAGAAAAATTTAAACTTTTGATGTGTTGTTGATGATGATGATGAAGGTGGTGCTGTGTTGGTGATGATGACAGTGATGATAGTTGTGATGGTGATGATGTTAACAGTAATGATGGTGGTGATAATATTGGTGGTGTTGGTGATGATGATGCTGATGATAGTGATGTTGGTAATGGCAATGATGGCTATGATGATGGTGAAGTTGATGCTGATTGTGGTAAAAGTACATGTGGTGGAGAGGGCAATGATGGTGGTGATGAAGCTGAGTTGTTTTGGTGATGATGGTAGTGATAATGGTGGTGATGGTAGTGGTAATGATGGTGATGATATTGATGGCAGGTGGTTATGCTGATTGTGGTAAAGGTACATGTTGTGCAGATGATGATGGTAGTGGTATTATGCTGTGGTAGGAAAGGTGGTGAAGATGACAATAATGGCGATGATGAAGGTGGTTTTGGTGATGATGGTGGTTATGGTATGTTATGATGGTGAAAGTAGTGGAGATGATAATGGTGACGAGGGTGGTAACGGTATGCTATGGTGGTGAAATTAGTGGGGTGTCGGTGATGATGATGGGTGTGATGGTATGCTATGGTGGTGATGGTGTTTATGATGATGATGGTGGTGATGGTATGCTGTGGCGGTAAAAGTAGTGGAGATGTCAAAAATGGTGATGACGATCTTGACAATGACATAGAATAATACAAAGTTTCTTACCGTTATTCTTCATTTTATTGTATATTACAACTAAGAAAATTGTAAAGAAATTCTGAATAACTAATATTTATTAACAGAATAAGCGTTAAAGCAGATTTGTAAACTTGAGATTGTACAGTCATCTTGTTGATGAAAGTTTGTGTTTGTTACCCTTTGGCAATAAAGTTAACAAACGAAATAAAACTTTGAGATTATGAGATTAGCACCATAGCATCTTAGCTCGTTTTCTAGGTGACTGGTACAATGCTTGCTCATTTTTGGAAGTGGGAATTTTTGCCTTTTTCCTAAGAAAGCCCATGCATTTCTGATCAGCAAGGTTACATACTGCCAGGAAGATAAAAATACTGAATTTGAACATGGTGCTCATTTGCTCCTTCCCTTCATATCATAGTGGATTGTTAACGCCACTATTTGGCAGTTTTTCTCCTTCTTGTTGATGGCTAACAAATCTGGCCTGCTTGCAATCTCGTTCCCAGGGTTCTCTCCTACCGGTCCCTAGGGGTAGGAGAGAGAACCGGGGAACAAGGTTAGCCCGCGTGCTAAATATGGTCTGCATGAAGAATCATTTTAAGACTGTTTACAGTCCCTTATTTTCTGTAAGTTCGTCGGGATCGAGTACTTACCCTCACAGGCAACTACCGGGGCTTCAAATGCGGCGGGTACAAAACGAAGATCACAGGTCACAAGTGCAGGTTACAGTACAGGTCACCATGCTACGGTAAATAAACAACACTTAAAGTGTTTCTAAGCCCTAATCACAATCCGAAATAGAGTTTTAGCGTAACGGGAAACTGCTTATCTTAGTTATTAATCAATAGAGCAATGACCTGCTCTTGTGACCTGTGGCCTGTGTATTGTACCTGTCACTTGAAACGTACAGTGGGGAGAGGGAGGCGAGAAAAATAAAATTAAACAAAAAAAATCTCGGCTCTTCCCAATCCGTCCCCCGTCGCTGTAGTAGATTTGATGCTCATCCCTAGCGAGATTGGGTACAGCAACCAGGGTGGCCGCCCTTAAGGGTCGGTGCTCGACCCCGACGATCTTACGGGAAAATAGGGGACTGGGAACAGTTTAAATCATTTTCAAGTGTGCTATGGACAAAATGTTAACTTTGGCAGACAATGCGCCCTCTTCATCGCCATTTTCGTTGATTTTTTACTGATCATTTAATCTTTATTTGAAGGGGTCTAAAAGAAACCACAGGGGCCGAATATTCAGTCAAAATAGCGATGTAGATCAATCGAAGTAAACTTTCAATTTTTTTTTTAAACTTTCAAAGAGAAGAGATATAAATACAGAAACGTTAATGTTACGTTAATAGGCCAATAAAGCACTCCATTCAGCCAATGAGCTTCCAGAATTTCGCAAAGCGCACAAAGTTTGATTATTGGTCAGTGTTAATTCATAATTAAAGAGAAACACAAATACATCTTCCTTCATTAGGCTGAGCTAGGCTAACAGAATTCCTTGATCATTTCGCCGTTTAGTTTTGTCGACATTGGTTCCCCGTCTAGTACGTGCCGTGATTATCTCATATATGCTCTTCTAATGACTTCTTTTGTTTCGTCACTCTATTATTGAGAGAAATTTATTGAGGACCTCCCAGCGGAAGGGTTCTTCAATCCCACCAAAATTCTCGCTCAGGGCTCGGGCCCGACGTTCTTTACGGCTTATCCCGATCATAAACGAACGTTTGAAAGAGTATCTTGTAGAGGATCGTAGAGACCTAGCGGAAATAATCGTATAGGTAAACCGGGCCCGAATGCTTCTGAGTGGCGCTTCCTCGTTGCCTACTTATTTCCCTATACCTGTGTTTTAAAAACTGAAACCAAGGTTCTCCTTTCCTAGTTTTAACTGAGCGAGCCAAAACTAAAGCCTCATTCACAAAAACAAAACTCTTTTAATTAACCAAGGTTAAAAAAAAAAATGAAAATTAGGAGCAGCAAACTGGAAGGCTGGCTTTTGCTAAAAATTCAAGTGAGCTTCAAATTGTGACTTTCCGCTTGTGTTGACTTTGTAGTCAACCAAAAATAACAAGTAAGCATGCAGCTTTGATGATGCCGGATAATTTTAAACCGTGTTTAACTCAACCGCAGCTTTGAAAACGTGTTTAATAAGCTCCAGTGTGAAACACGCCGGGCGCATTGCATATAAAGTTCTTTCATCGACAAAATACCCTAATGTGTAAATCGATAGTGACAAGTTTGTTGTGATCTAATAATTTCAGTCTCAAATCCGGGCTTTTTCTCTCTCAAGGGGAATCAACACTGAATCAACAGTTGCTTCGCACCGGGAGAAGTGAGGCTTTTTCTCTTTGGCCCACATATGAAAAGAGGTAACGACCGCAAATTCTAAAGTAAAGGCGTTGAAAAAAATCCCCTTGTTGTTTTATCTTTTTATTTGTTTAATAGCAGGTGTCTGAGATGGCTTCTAAACTCTCAGGTGCTTTGTTCCTTGCTGGGAGTTGTTGCCCCAGTCGTCACCCTTATCATTAAACGTAATCTTAGGCTGTCGTCCAACATACCGTAACGCTAACAGTTCAAATAAGACGTCCCCGTAAAACAAATGCTGTGTATTTAGCCAAGCAACTTAGTCATCCCGCGCTCAGTTTACGCGAGTGTTTTTTATTATACCGAAGAGCAGGTTTTTTTTCTAAGCTTTGTTTATGATCAGTTTCACAGATGCCCGCACACGTGGCCGGAGATGTAACTCTCATCGCTGTCCGCATGTCATTGAATACTAACGCCGCATGCTTGCTGCCCTGTGTAGAGTTTTGTTTGAAAACACTTTGAAGATCACTGATCTTGCATCAGCAAACATCCAACACCCTTCATGCAGCCGCCATGTCCACTTCACTCAAGCATATCCACTTTGTTGTGAACGAAAGAAAAATTTAGTTTCGCGTTTCCATGAGAATTGACCGTTTTTTTGCATGCACCATTCGCCGAAAGGCGTTGTGCCTTTCCTGAAAATTCTATATTTGCTATGGATAATTCATTTTTTACAGAACACAGCTGACTTACAGGTGGGAGCTGGTGCCCGATTCAAACACTGACTATGTTACACTCAAGCTAAAAATAATAGCAATTTATTCTGCAAAAGGCTTAAAAAGAAACAAAAGCAAACTGTCGATGTCCTTTGATTGGCCACAAGCAAGGCTCTCAACCAGTTTCATATAGTACAACAGGAAGGAACCGCTCGTGTAGTTTATTTGAATTGCTACAAGTTAGAATTTCTATTTCCTTGTAAAGCATCGTTATACTGAAAAAAATTAGCACTTACAATTAGTCACCGATTGCCAAAAATTTATAACCCCAGTAACCGCGGACTCATTGTTTGATTTCTAAATATCATGTGAATAAAAACGAATTTAAAAGCATGTGATGAAATTTTAGCCCGGCCGTGTAATGTCCTTTTGCCTTAGTACACTAGATATGACAACTAACGCGTCGGCTATATTGCATTATGACCAAACTTACGGGTTAGCGGTTTTTCTTGCTTAACTAATTCGCGTTTTCTTGCGCATAAATACTGGAAAATTGCCATTACGCTGTGTTGTAGCTTCGGCTATTTTCAAGCCTTGTAAGTCGCGTATTCGTAAAAGAGAATTTCCCACGCATCGAAGAATTACTTGCTAATTGGTTCCTTGTTATATAGAACTTAAAGTTATTGTGGTTTTTCTTTTTTGACGGCAAAACCTTTATAAACAACCGCGTCTTGCTTTGTTGGCACCTGCCAGAGTCTAGGAACTTGTGGCTCGGTCATTGTTTGAGAATGTTTAGTAAACATGTGAAAGGATGGGCGATAATAATTGTACAAGGTTTTGTGGTTTTAATTTTAGACTAGGATTTAGACCGGTATTAGCCGCTGCCGTTAAGATGCCACACCCATTCTCACCGGTACCAAAACTCTAGAAGCTAGTGTTTTTTGCCTTGACTGGTGGCAAAAATGTGAAATCTGAACAAAATTTCAAGCGTCACTGTTAATTCTCTTTCCCGGAAAATAATGCTTCAATTAGTCGGAACGGACAGGTATTTTAACCTTCGGGCGCTGCCCCAGCAAACTCCCACTAAGGTATAGTTATAGAGCTCTCAGGAGAAAAATTTCCTTTCTTTCTTTATACCTCAGAGAGCTTCCATTCCTTATAAAAATTTTCTGCTGTTTTCGAAGCAAACTTTTTCCGAGTTTTATAAAGTTATTGTTAATCACTTGTAGCTGTTTGTACTTCACTGATAAATTTGTTTTCCCAAGTCTGAGCAGATACACATTCAGCTCAAAGTAACCCCGACTTCAATTCTCATTCTGAAAGTTCAACCTTAGTTGAGCAGGAGCATATACTTCGATCGTTCACGCATTACTAAAAAGGGTTTATTAAACTCTGTGTTCAGTAAATCGCTCGCAGCAACACAAGACTGCCATTGTTTTCCGTCTCAACAAAGACCCCCTAGAGTTGACATGGTTTAATCTTTTGAGATCTATCAGCTGAAGATTATAATAATAGAAAACATTTGAGGCAAAAGAATCCGAGTACCTGTACAAAGTTTCAATGCCGTATGGCATAGTTCTGCACTTGATGGTATATCACTGAATCCTCGTGAGAGGTATAAAATTTCTAGGGCGCTCGCTCTACTATGTCCACTAAAAAAAAATTAGAGAAAACTCTTGGTCTAACTGCAAAACTAAACAAAAAAACGAAAATAAAATTCACTTAAATTTCAAAGGATAATAAAGTTTGCGGTGACATTTTACCACATGTACAGTAAGTCTACTTTCTAATCTGTTCGATCAACTTTCTTTATTCTTAACGAAGGCTTTCCGGACAGAAATTTTTTAGCACGCCAAATAACTATCTTGTGAATCCAAACTGACCAATTTTTCAATCTAAAGATTTATATAAAGCTAACTGTGCCATATCAAATTCAATGTAACAAAATTTGATTAAGGGGTTGGTCTTTAAAGTCCGGCTTCAGATTTCAACTGTACAGCCAGCAATTTGTTGTTTTAACAGGTACTCGTAAAGTAAAATTAATAGAGCTTCGCTTCGGCGGGTATCATTAATTCCTGAACTTAAAATATATTCGTGACACAAAGTTCAAAAGGCGAGTATAAATTAGGGCTTAACCTGGAGTTTAAGTCAGTTTTCCTCAAAGGCGGCAGACGTTTTTGCGCTAAGCCAAAAAGCAGTCAGCCGTCTTACGTTTGCCATAAACGTTTTCGGCCTATAAAAAGAACTCTGTAAGGATAGTTTTTTTTCATTTTTTGCAGTGTGGCCTTTCAAATGAAATTGACTAAGCAGTACTTTCTTGTGGTCGCAGGATAATTATGCAGTCAGGTTAACGCGGTACTAACTTTTGAGACTGTGGATAGACTCCTAGCTAAAGTGTGACTATTCAAATGAAAGCTACTGAGCAGTACTTTCTTATGGTTCTGTTTACTAAGCTGTACAAGTGTGATCATTTAAATGAAAGCTACTAACATACTAAGCAGAAGTTTCCTGTGGAACTGTTTATTACGTTGTACAAGGTGGTTCTAACTTTTCAGTCTATGGATAAAATCCTAAAGAGTGACCATTCCAGATGAAAGTTACTAAGCAGTACTTTTCTACGCTGTCATTTATAATGCCGATTTTACTGATTCCAACTTTTAAATTCCTAGTAGGTAAAATCCTTAACCTTGACCGTCATCATGAAAGCTCTTGAGTTATATTTTCATTTGGTCCTAAGTGTTTGCATTTTCCGCGTTTTGAAAAATAAAATTGGGTATTTCGTATTGTTTTAAACATAGCTGTTAAGCTCATATACGAAACAGGTGCTATCGTAAGCTTAATGACAAATAAACACTAGATACAAGTGCCTACTGGTGGAATTTTATTCACCGTATTAGCCCCTTAGTGCTTCTTCAATGGATAAATTCATTTAGGTTGGCATCGGCGGTTTAAAAGATAGCCACATGTTGCCCTTGTCCATTCTAACAACTTTGTTCGCTGCAGCTATGGTTTCACCTTTCATGGCATGCTCAGGTTAGAGTAAAACACATAACACACAATATTAACATGACAATCCACGAGGAAATTTTAACTGCAATGCCTAGATAGTTCTTTGTTAAAACTGGGTCTTAGCAAGGTCAACTTCAATTATTAACTTTTCAATGGTGATTTTATCCGAAAAGGTAAAAAAGCCAAATTAACACAAAATGCAAAGATAACATTGTCGCCTCTTTTTGAAAATATTATAGTAAAATTTCTGCATAAGGCGCCAAAGATTACTGATTATTCAATGGAATTTCATTCATAATTTGACATGTGTTCAACCTTTACGCTAACAAAGGAGCTCCCGCCAAAATGGGCTGTGTACCGCTAGTTCCATCACATGTATGAAACGTGCGCCACGCGGCTTTTGCCGCCAAAAATAATACGATGTTTAACAAGATAGCGTGTCGGCCGAGCCTTCTCTTTATGAATATTAATCTCCTTTGTTTGCGCTACGCGCTCTTTTCGATGATCTATTATTTTAGCTAGCGAGCCACGCGAAGGATTCACACTTCGCTTTTAATACTGTCACTTGGGCATGTTTTCACAAGTTTGGAGTTGAATTGCCAAATGCATCAAAGGATATGAATATGGTGGTTTTTTTTTCAACGCGTTTCAAAGCGAGGTCCACGCGTGTTTTGGGTCGCCCGTTGACTTTTAATTAGTTTGCAAACTTCGGTAATTGTTTTCGCGGCACCAGCCCGGATTAAGAGTGTTAGTGCATGGTCTCTGAGCCGGTTCAAAGGCCAAAAGAAACTTTGCGTAGGGTATTATTATCAGCGTTTTGAAAAAGATAAACACGACTTGAGTAATTTAGTTTAAAAGTTTAAACAACAAGTTGGTCTTCGCAGCTCAAAGGATTATCTGACATGGCGTGCGAAGGTTATTCTTTTGAACGGAATCTTGTCTGAACAAGCCTTTTGAGACAATGGAGAAGCGAATGGCAATAATTATGATAGAAAAAGTTGGTTAAACAATGTAAAGTGAGAGCGTGGCCTATACATGAGAGCACGTGTGTTGAAAGTTTCTTTTGGACAAACACAAAGCGTGCTAAACTGTTAAGCAATATGGATACACTGCGGCCATTGTTTTCTTTGACTTTTTGACTTTTCTTATTTATAGCCGCGTCCAGGCCGTACAAAAAACCCTGTTGATGGTCGATTGGGCATGCAATGGTTTGTTTGATAAAGCAGTACAATCGTTCGTCCTCATTGGTTTGCGCTTAGAAACGTATAAACGTTAATTAAAAGAACATAAAATCGATAATGTAATCAGCTCTTTCTAACCTTGAAAATCATATCAGATGTACGTTTAACGTTTACATTGAAATCCAAAAACTCAAAATTACTTATAGTAACTTATGAAATAAGCCTGATTCTACTTTTTTTAATAGGATCCCTGGAGGATTATTTTGTCTCCGCTTTCTCTTCTGGAAAATTTGTCATTTCAAGGAGCTTTGAGACCAAATTAACTGCTGCTTCAAAAACTAAATTCTAAATGACAATGATTTTTCTCAAAACTGAACATTCAAATATGTTGTTCCAAGTAATTTTAGCGGTCCCCTTTTGTCAGTCATTACAGTATTGGCTGGCTTTATATCTTGACCGAGAGTCTGATAATTTTGATATTGGCCTTCCGTCTTATGTGATAAGTAATTTAGAAAAGAGGATTGAACTTTGAAAATGATGGTGTTGATCCCTCGTTCCCTTGAAACATGGAGGTAATATTGAGTAACTTCCGCCATGATAGTTCCCTTCTGTAGGGACGTTATTAATAATTGTAATCTACTGGCAAAACGCCGAAGACTAAATCAACGAATCACTTTTCTGCAGCTAAGATACCGTGAGACCGCCAACGAACTTAGGATGAAAAGAACGATGATTAGAATGGAAAATTGAACTCCGTTTAAAAAGCGGTTTTATTGGAGTAAGTTTTACTGGAAAAAAAGAAAAAAAAAAACATTACATAACATGGGTAAGATTAAATGTAAATGGATATGTTTTGGCGAAAACGCGGGGGAGAGTAGAGACAAACCTTGAATAAATCAACTCTCGAGGAAAATGTTACCAGGTATTGGTCAGTTTACAGTCAGGAGGGGTGATGGAAAAGTTTTTTTTTTATAATTCTAAAATGAAGCTCTAAAAGGTTTATTGCGGACCGAACACATTAAAAAATTATGAAGTTCTCAATTAACAAGAACACTAGTTACTGCTGAGAGAATTAGCGAGGCAGACAATGAAAGGGAAAAAGCGAAAACAACAAATTGAGAACTGTTACAAGCACGTTGTATATAATCGCGGCAGCTGTTTTGCCGAACAAGTTAAACTGCCTGGTATTGAATCAATCTAAAAACTCGTTAGAGGCCAAAAGTGCGCAAGTATTTATCATAAATTGTCATTTGCCAAAGTATTCGACAGCTAGAATTTTCTCCAAATAAAACCACGGCAATCAACAAAAGTTTATGAGACGCGCAATTATTTTTGTCAGGAAAGGCTCTTTGACATGTGGAATCATATCATTGGCGGGGAAAAGACATAGAAAGTTTGTTATCTTAAAGTAAATATATGCCGTTCTGTCGCTCAGTAAATCTAATTTATGATTGCAGAATAAAAAATTCGTCGGAAGCAGTATCTTTATACTTAAATTCTGTAAAACACTTATTCACTCGAATGACGATTCATAGCCGTGCCGAAAGTTGTTAATGCCTAAGCACAAGCTCGGAGTAAAATAGAACTTTTTTGAATAAAACTACTCAAAACAATATATTCATTTTCATACCCAACCATTTTTCGCTTTTTTTGTTGAGAGGCGACTAATTTTAACATACAAAAGGTGTTTTAATGGTTGCCTTTTTTATAACAGTCCCGCCCAGCATCAAGCAGTCTTTTGAAGTTGAATGCCAGTTGAATAGAACAAGTCGTGCGTCATGTGTTCTGTCGCGTGGCACGGTCGCGTGTCTCCACATCCATTGCGATTTCCTTTAAAAGTATTTACTCCTTAGTCCGCTAAGTGATGCGGTTACCGGTCTGGACTCCATAATATCACTCGGTGAACAAAACAAAATATTTAGCACGAGTAATCTAAAGCCTTTTAGCTAGTACTCATCGCGATGCACGGACAAGCCAATTGCGGATGTTTTCTCGTCTTTCTTTGAAAGCAGGACACCATTTCGATATTTTTAATTTCATTACATTTGACTCGAAAATTATTGATTGGCATATCCCCCACTCCTGGAATAGCTTTTATGACGCTGCATGCTAGGGAACGATAAATTCGTGATAAGTCCGGATGTCTATCTCCTTTCCTAATTTTCGGCGATTAATTATATCACGCACAAAATTCTGGAGACTGCCTTTTTGGCTTTTAGTAGTAAAAAATTCAGCAGGGAGGCTAAATTAAAGTTTTTAATATTGTCTCTTTTCACTTCTAAAACTTTCGCGATGGAAGCGGGCGTTGCTATAGGTGCATTTAAGGTGTTTAGCAATACGCTGTCTTTTTTTCTCTTTCTCCACCATGCCTTTTTTTGCCCGAATTGTGTCGAGTTTCATTTGTTAAAATGCAAATGCAAACAGCTGTTTAGAGCTGAGCTTCTTTTGAAAGCGTTCGCGCTGTTGATTAGAATAACAAAACCTTGCTTCGTTTGTAAGCGTTGTAGAAAAACTCAATTAACAGGACTCAGATGACCAATTCCATTTCTCGAGTGAATTCTTTAGGATTGTATTGTACCAAATATTTCGCACGCAAATTCGACACCCACGAGCCCGGCGCTAACAAATTCTTCGTGATATCATGCTTAAAGCAATTTCTACAAATTCAAAAATTTACTCAACAAAGTGCCTTAGATAATTATTTTTCCAGTGGTAATAAATTTTCTTAATCATCCCTGGAACAAACATATAAATCATTTGATTGTAAAAGGTAAGCAATGTTTTAATTCCAAACGAAGGGAATTTTCCACTCGTTTTATTACTTTTCAGCTGAAATTGGTTTTTTAAAATAGAGCATTTTAGTTTTATTTCTAAAATACTTTATTAAAACTCTGAACGAAGTCAATCATATGGAAAAATTAAACAAGGCCCGAAGGGGAAATTAACGTCTAGGGGGCGCGCGAAAGATTGCTTTTAAATTTCTGGTCTTCTTTCCTGCGGCGTTATTCAAAACACACATTCTTGAAGTTTTGTCGCTTTTGCGCCAACAGATTTCCGATCGCTACGTTCTTTTTTCTATTTACACTTGGCCCTTTTGTTCATTTAAGATCACAAAACATATTCATCAGTGTTTTGAGCGATTAAGTCAGGTAACTCTGCGAACAAACTTTAAGTAATTATTATACAACGCCCAGGCTGATTCATTGATCTTGTGGCCTGCCGTCAAGTCGCCATGAAATTGCTCTATTATCGTTTGATTTGAACCGTGAGAGAGGCGATCAAACTCACAGATGATTCCCATACATATGTAAATTCACGGCAAAGTGTCTTGAGAAATGTACAATAAATTCTCTAATTATACTCTGCGAAGATAGTATTCATTTATTCAAGATTACACCTGCTCCGGCGAAGGCTGTGTTTTTGTAATTATCCATCGACTCCTATCCTTAATCCTCGTTCGAGTGAGTTCACCCAAATTATTTATTTTTCACGTCTCTGTACTACGATGTCCTTTTCTTGTCGAAAAAGTTCCAAAGAAACACGCCCGCGCAATGCGAACGTGACCATGAAAATGTATTCTTTAAGATCGAGTGCTTTGTTATATATAGTGTGAATATTTTCTGACAGTTTTTTACTGAGGGCAAATGTTGGATTTGTACAAACGTGCATGCCTTAAAGCAAGTAACGCCTTCTAGAACCAAAACTTTTCCTTTTGTTCTTGTTAAAACAAAAAACCCAAAATAAAATTTTTGGGAGGTGGGTAGTCAGAGCGACGGTAATGAACCACAGACAATTCCTTTAGAAGTCTCTTTTGATGGTTTGGCCAATCTTGAGTGCTCCGTATGCTTACATCCGCGCTTCGAGCCGATGGAATTGAAGATTGAAAAAGCTGCGAAGACAGTTTGTCAATAGGTTTAATTGCGATGCCTTGGTGATATACAATGCTTGCGAAGGATGTTTACTTTCTGTTTAAAAGGAACCCTGAGTTATTTCTCCGGGGAACACCTTGAGTTGAATGAGAAAAATTCAGCGAATTCGGCAGAGTTCAGTAATTCACCCTGGAAACTAAACCAGCAAATCTTTAAGTTCAAGAAAATTTACTTTCTACTTAGCTAAGACTTTTCCGATACAAAAAATAACTTGGCGATCAGTAGATATGAATCGTTGAAAAAGCCGAAAATGAAGGACTAAATTTTTTTCAGCGCGGGAGGAAATTAAAAGCAGAAAAAAAAAGACAACACAGCTGCTCGTGTGGTTTTAATGTCCAAGTTCACTTATTACAATTTATTTCGAAATATTTTGCTCTTTTTACGGCATCTGACGACATTTTCGACGATAACACATCTATTCTCCGAAAAAGAGACTTTTTCTTCAATAACCGCGTTCGAATATTTTTCACAGCTTTTGAATTCTCCCTTTTAATAGATGAAAGTATCTGAGTAATGCAATTTGCCTAGTTTGAGAAGGCCATTCTTGTTCGCATAGTCTGGAAAATAAATTAATAACGGCTTACACTGTTTCTTGAAGGGACCTGAAAGTTAACTAATGTAGAATATTACCTTCATTTTGGTGAGCCTGGAATTATGTTCGTAAAATTCCTAATCTATTGAAAATCATTTTGTTGGCCTAAAACATCTGTCGCGGTAGAAAAATTTCTTCATCGCTAAAATCGGTCTTTATGGAACTTTAGTGAATTTTTACTGCATCTTAGGGTACTAATTCAACGAAAATGGCTTTCATGGAGGATATTTTATTTTCGCGATGTTTCCTTTTGCTCTTATTTATACAAACTGCTTTAGACTATTTATGGTTAGTTCCGGCATTCGATTTTACTTTCTTTGACTTGATCATGTAAAGAGTCCAAATTCTTGCTGTTTGAAATAATAATAAAATGTAAATCGTGTTCTGGCATGAACCATTCAAGGTCCTACCAATGAAACGGTCTGTCCTAACTGCAGAGAAGCCAATGAAAAGCCTTCGTCTTGGGACAGCTGTCAATCATCGCCACGTGTTTCAAATTACTGCGTAATTAGACAGTGCGTTCCGTTTCTGCCGGAAACTGTTGTTTATGCATAAACACTTCGATTTGCATAAGGCATTATTTTGTGGTTGTTTTGCGAAAATATTAGCGATTTTATGAGCAAATAGGCCAATTCAATATCCGCGTGTACTGGGCGGATTTTTCTCGTGCTTTTAAGCAGCGTCGGCGAAAATCTGAAACCGTTGCTCTCCCTTGGGCAGCTCAGAGACAGCGACACACCCTCGGGTTTTAATGAAATGTTAATAAGGCTACGCACCCGCCATAGAAACAATGGCTAACACGTGTGGGGAATGACAACAAAAAGTATATTTAACAAAGGGAGGGCCTCTCGCGTGTGACATTTCAATGGACATTCTAAGACCTCTTAACAACCACCGTATACGCGCGCGCACAGCTGCCGCTCAGGCGACACAATTAAAACATTTGCGTTTCCGATCTCAAGAACATTTCAGCTTCCAACGGATAGCGTAGACATCTCGCGAGTAAACCTGACTGAAGAAATTTCGACGTTCAAGTCCAGCAGCGTACAGTCTAAAGAGGCATAAACAGCGAGGGCACTTTGATAACGGTGTGAAATATTCACGCTCGCGACTGTTATTATTTTTCTTGTTCGAGCGAGGTTCCTGGTTGACCTAGAAAAAAATATTTTCGAAGTGCAACTGGTAGTGGTTAAGAGACAAAAGGAGAAGATCATGCCTAAAGCATTCCTTGTGAAGAAGAACAAGAGGCTGCACAGTGGCGGAGCTGGATCGGTGGAAAAGAGGCATTTTGAGTACGATGCAGTTCCGGAATATCGCGCGGGCAAGAGTGATGTGTTTTCCACTACGTCTGCGGTTTCAGAAATTATGCATTCATCGCCGAAGAAGGATAAACCACCGGTGTTAACCTCGTTAAGTGCGCTGCTCACCTCAGCGCCTAACAACAACATCACATCAAGCGCCTTTAAACCTTTTAAATTGGAAAAAGAAAAGGAAAATTCTCCAGCCAAGAAATTCAAGCCTAACCCGACGTCGATCGAGAGCCGTGACAAGCCGAGTAAGAATAAAGACAGCAGTTCAAACGGACGCGAAGCGCTTAACGAAAAACACACGGATCATGGTGGTAAAACCGCAGTTCTCGAACACAAGGAGTTTGCCATTTGCCAAGATAAGTTCGACTTTCCCAAGACCAAAGGTCCACTGCCTCAGTCTCAATTTATCTGCCAACTTTGTCAGGAGGTTTATACAGATCCATTTTCGCTAGCCCAACACAGGTGTAGTGGAATTCAGCACACTGAATATCGATGCCCCGAGTGCGACAAAGTTTTCAGCTGCCCTGCCAACCTGGCTTCGCACCGCCGATGGCACCGACCTCGTTCGCCGCACGAGAAAAAGCCAGCTCCGACCCAATCGCCATCTACGCGCGATCAAGTATCGAGCAGCCCGAAAGTTGGCGCCGAAGAGAGCAAAGTCGGCACCACAGCAGCGGAATCCGAGTTACGAGCCACCAGCCCTGTAGGTAACAGCCAGGGACAATTTGTGTGCGAAGTATGCAACAAAACATTCAGGCGCAAGGCCTATCTGAGAAAACATATGAACAACCACAACGATGATCGCCCTTATCCGTGCCAGTACTGTGGAAAAGTTTTCCGCAGCCTGACAAACCGCGCTAAACACGTTCTTAACCACGCCGTGGGACCTAAGACATTTATTTGTAACGTGTGCGGTAATGGTTTTGCCAATAAGGGAAGCCTTGATCGACACGCAAGAATCCACACAGGTGAAATTTACTCTTGTAAACATTGCTCTAGTACATTTTATAGCTCGCCTGGTTTGACTCGCCACATTAACAAATGTCATCCACCCGAAAATCGTCAAGTTATAGTCCTGCAAGTCCCAGTTAGACAAGGCTGAACTTTTTTTCCTGAAATAAGAGACAGAAAAAAAATGCCACAATGTATATTTGTTGTATGAAAATTGCAAAAAGTATTCTATTTACAAAGACGCGAGGACAATGTGATAGGGTAAAACCTTATAAATTTAAAATGTATTGTACAAATTTTTATGCAAGGGAATTATGGTATATTCAGACGAATTCTTTCACATGCTGTAAATTTGCGAAAGACAGTTTAAAGTTATAAGTAGTTCAAATCTGTATAATTTTTTATGTCCAATTTGTTAGTTGACTAACGCGCGCTGTTATGCAAGGCAAGTTGTGTTTGTTGTTTGAGAAGCGCGCAGCTGCTCCGTGGAAAATTTCCCACTTTACTGATATTAATATTGTGTAGAAAGTTAGCGGATTCTTTGATGAAACGTTCCTATTCAGTAAACGAAAGAAAATATTAAACTGCCTTTTGTTGCTCATTTCAAGTTTTTATGGTAGATTTCCGCGGTTGAAGGTATTGAGAACTCCTCGTCTATATGAAGCGCGCGCCTTCTAATTTCGTAGATAAAGTCGCTGACATACGGTAATCACCTCGTTGAAGAATCTCATTGAGTCAAAGATAAAATCAAAGAATGGAATCTAATAAAATTGCCGATGACTTGTGTCTCCTAGTCCCCTTGATTGATGTATCCTCTTTAGCGAAGAGTTTTCCGCGAAAAGATCGCTTGTCAGTTTGATCAAATTTAAGCTTTAGGAGGAAAAACAAAGCGCGCTGGTCGAAGAGCACGATCGCATTTTTAGGTCGAAGATCGTATTTTTGCGATCATCTATACATGATCACAAGTGTTTATTTTTCTCCTTTCATTTCACGACACTCGCATAGCCGCCTTGAGGGGCTTTATCTGAGCAGAATTTGAATATTGAATTGCTCTTTCAGAAAGTTCGGACAGTTTAAAAACAGATGGCTATGTACTGCCGTCATTGAAAAGCAATATTTGTCAAAAGCGAAGATTCGCTCACTCATTTTAATTCACTGCAATGCAAAACTCGAGGCCGATGTCTTTGTTTGCCCGTGTGTTGTACATGGTCGCTGTTAAGACAACCTTTCTATTCCAGTGAGGAATTCTTAGTCAAATCCACCACACGTTGTATCTATGCGACTGTTACTTTCACACAAGTATTCAACAATGCGACTCACTGTCCCAGTCAAACGCAGTAACATTAAAATGAAGATCGGATACAGATGAGCCGAGATGTTTTTATTGGAAATCCTGTGCTTACAGCAAGGCTGTCTTTTTTATTTGTTTACTCAAAACATAAATTTCCTGACCCATCATCCATATTCTGTCGCATCAATAAGGAAGATACTTAAAAGCGATTTTTGGTGTCTACAGAATCCATTTAGTAAAAATCCTACGGCTTTGTTTTCACACCCCGTGTGAGAGAATTTATGCACGTGCTTTAAACTTTTCCATTATTTTCCAGTCTCTTGGAAATGATTTTCTTTAAAGAAAACTTTTAAACCAAAAAGGAATTTAGAACCGCGAAGTTTCGGAATCCATAAGCTTTAATCTGTGATGTTAGAAATTCATAATTTCAAACCATATTGGAATTTTTGTTCTATTAAGAATATTCATTATTTTACTTCAATGTTTTAATTAACGTTTATTCAGTTTTCTTTTTCTCAAGTCTAACATATCAACTCATCAACCATACCCTGGTGAAATGGGCTTTAAACTAAGTCCTTCCAAAACGCGTGGAATCTTTCGCCAAAGAAGGAGAAAAATTCGAGAGAGAATCTATTACAACTGTTAACCGTAGACTACGATTCCGATGGAGGGAGTTTTACTTTATTGTGTTTGGTGTCAACAAAGAAAACCTTCTCTGTTTAGCCCCTTCGACCCATTTTGAAGGCCGAACTTTGTACAATTGAACTTGTCTTAAAGTGTATCGTTCTGTCGTGTCGCGGACGAAATTCTCTTCATGCCGAAATACTGCACTGGCTTTTTTCCTTCTGTACATTTGGCGAATGCGGAGCTTGTGGGATGAAAAAGTATACAACGCAGTTTTGATTCCATGGTCGATTCGCAGCTTGCGATTTCATTAGTATTCTTAAAACCCACCTAACTTTCGATTCGTATCGCATCTTAATTCGCTAAACTCGCGAACTAAGCGGGAAACTGATTCGATCAAAATCTATCCATATGGTCTTTCCTTTTTCCGCGGAAAAGAAAAGTCTTTTTATTTCAGCCTGTCGAAAGGATGTTGACAATAGAGTGAGATATGTTAATTTAATTCGCTAAAAAAGTTTCCCGCGATGCACAACAAAGTGAAATATCCCACACAAACTTTGCGTTTCTCATTTGCCTTAGATTACGACCAAAAAGGGATTAGTTCAGTAACTACAGAAATAGAAATTCGCGTTCTAACTGAACGGAACTATAAACTTATATCATATTTGCGGCAGGTGCAGCGAAATGTTGACTCTTCACGAGGCCAGAGTGTGCGGCATTTTTTCAGCACAGTTTAAGCGAGCAGTCGAACTTCGCAAGAAATACCTATATTTATATCGGCTACAGTTTTCATTAACAGTGGCAAAATAGAAATGTTTTTGCATTTTATTTATCGACCACGCTCCTTGGACGCCCTGTTGTATACCTATATGTTAGGTCAGCTGGAATTATTTTATAATAGAGCTCTTATATGACAGCATTTAACGCCAAGACTGCGCAGAAATGAGTTAACAATTTGCGATTTTTACTCAACAAGCCTCCCATTACTCGATGGCAATCGTTCGCGGCTAAAAAAAATTAATTGCGGGAGCAATCCCACTCGGCTAATTTAGAATTTGCGGGGTACTCATTTAACACTTCACGTTCTCGTTCAGTTGGAAATTAAAATTGAAAAGAAAACAGTCACTTTGGATTCTGCTATGCGCTTTTTGCGACTGACGCAAGTAAATGAATTTATGTTGGTACAGCTGATTGTCCATGTAGCCTGTTACCAGGGAGTTTTTTCCTTTTTTCAGATTTCGGTCACATGCCTTTGAATATTTATTCTATTTCTATATGAATTGCCGCATGAAAAACATGGAAAACAGAACTTCCTCGCTAACCTCATAGTTTGATACGCAAATGCTAGAAAACAGCCCGAGGCTTTGATACTGTTTGCCGGGCTAGTTGTGCGCTCCAAAAACTAAGCGTGTTACTTTGTTTTCTTGCTTTGAGCTCAAGAGATCATGTCTTATTTTAGCGACTTGGCCAAACAACACAAAAGCATCAGTTTTTTCCGTGTCACCTCAATTTAGTTTCATTTAGCAACAATTATCGTCTCTAGCGCACTCTATTGATCGTAACATCTACGCCTCGCTGTCTCTCTACCATTAATCAGGGAAAAACTTCACCCAATTTGTCTTTACGAGGGTAACAAATGGTTTTCATAATTTCTTTTTTAACTCAACTAATTTGCAACAGCTCAAATGCCGCCGCGTCCTAAGTTGAGCCATTCACGTTTATTATGAACAAAGTTACCAAGGAAACACACGTTCATCTTTGTTCGCTAAGTCCGCGCCATGCGGTGTAAGCTTTCATTAAACCCCTATTTCAAAAGCCTTCTGTTTATGTCGTTTAACTTGGCTTTTGAACAAAAATAACTGCTGTTGGAAGGCTGTTTTTCTTTGAAGCACTTATCGCAAGTGTTTCGAGACAGCGCTTGTTCAAAAACTGCTCGCCATGGCTCACATATTTCCGTATACCCTTCGTTATTTCATTCTTTTTAATTTCTTGTTTTCTTATCGCAGCCTGCTTCTTGAAATTAATTTTTTTTTCTGGGCGGGCAAAGAGCTTCTTCACAATCCATTTCCTGCTGACTTGAAAGTTAGGATGTAAATATTTCTTATTCGATAACTGATAACTACCAATTTACATGATGCACTTGATACTGTCTGAAAAAAAGAAATTAAGAAGGAACAAAAAACGAGGTCGCAAATCAATTTTGAAATTCACTCGTTCATCGTTATTTTTTTAGAAAAACAGCGAGGTGTTTGCATTGTCTTCTATCCGCCGCAAAAACTTTTATGGCCAAACTTCAAATAATGTCCTGAAAAACGAACTGTCAACTTGTTTTTCTTGAAGTGGGGCTATTCTTTGTTCTGTGTAAATTATTCAACATACGTTTTTCCATTGTTATTTGATCGAGTCAAATTCCCTTCGGTAATCTCTGATTGCCCGGCTACAGCGATGTTATTCGTACAAAGGCGACTCAACTTGCTCCGCTCATGCGCTGTTTCAGAACAAAATCATCTTCTTTTATGAAGGCGTTCATGCCTCGACTGGCGCGCGGAAAAATTTTAAAACAACATCTTAATCTTTCAAAACTATTTGGGGGAAAACCATATTTTATGCTTTTAAAAATCTGCATGGTAACCCTTGGAGTGTTTGTCAAATGTGTTGATCGCCTATTTTAAATTATTACACTGAATAGTGTGGGACATATGCAATGACGCAGTTATTCATTCGTCCTCAACAATTAACGAAATCGCGCGGAAACCGTTTCCTGGAGATATATCTCTTTTTCACCGAATAAACGAATTTCCTTTCAAAGGAAGACCGTCAATAGTTGCTAATTGAATGCCTTTAATGGCCTTGTAAGATGACAGAGGAATATTTAGTTTGAATCTCGTTTCCTCCCCTTTGTTCCTTAATGATATCCCACCGCGAACAAACTCCATACCATCTCGAATCCTTTCAACAACAGACTGTTGCTTTGCTTTAAAACACGTTTTCGATGCTCAAGCGAACGTGCACTAAAAATCCGGATTCCCGAGGGCCTGTGCAGTAAATTTGAGTACTTGAAAGCAGGCCGCAGTAGTCTCGGATCAGTAAATTGATCGTTGATAGTTTGAGCCTCGAAACAGGTGCATAAATTCAAAGGCTTTCCCAAGAATTCTTGCATCTATTTTCGGTGCAATTTACAAAAGATAATTCAATCCAGACTGTTCGAAGGGTAACATTTGCCAGGAGTCAGCTCGTTAGTGATTCACTGATTAACGATAAATTTTTCAAAGGCATGCTCTTTTTTTATACTGACTCGGCATGGTCCCGAATGCTTTTCATATAATCGCATTTTCGATAAATTTACATTACACAGTGTTTATTGCTTCTTGTTGTGCGAAAATATTGTTCGCAGTAAACAAAGGAAGCTCTCTTTAATGACATTCCACTTCAAAGGAGATTTCCTATTATAACACACTTCCCCACATCCGAAATATATTTTAATACCGCAATTTGCCAGTAGCTGAGGGTATTTTTTCAGGAGATTTAACCGTGAACTTTCAATAAATAGTTAAAGATGTTGTTAAATAAACAGTCGCTCAGAAAGTGCTGTTTTATTACGCTTCCATTGTGACCGAAAGATTTTCCCACCAATTAAAGCTTTCTTCTCAATTTAACTTTCAAGCCGTTGTCCAATTTGAGATGATTCTAACGCCGTTAAATTATCGTTCTTTTCTTTTTGGCCTTGTTTGCGGACATTCAGATGTTCAAAGAAATTAAAAGAGTTTCAGTAGCGCAAAATAAACGAACTTGTGTTATTTATGCG